CAATCCCTTCTTTCTTTCTTTTTTTTTCTATGTGTTCCCCTGTTCAGGATGCCCAAGATTCCATTCTTTCTGTCCACATATTCAAAGTGATAGATAAAAATTAACTAGGAACAAACTTGTCTGTCATTAATTCCATAGAGATGTTGCAGAAGTGGATAAAGTTTAGAAGGCAGATCCCAAACTGTCCTGTCACAAAAGTATTACTAGAATGAATAGGATATGATGTTGGTGAGGATGGCAACATCCATTTGAATTTTTTTATGGTTTGCAGATCACACAAGACCATAGTGAGTAAACACATCAAGAGAACAATCTTATTGGATTGCAAATCCTACATACTAAGTACAAAAAACATAGAGGAATGAAATGTAACAAAGCATGGCGTAACAGGCATGATGTAATCATATGTCATTTTAAAACAAAATAATGGCACCCCGCAATGCTTGATAATATAGTTTACATATTCAAAATTAAGGCATCAGTAAAACATGTTAATGAACTAAATTAGTACAACTTTTTCTGGCAAAAACCTGAAAGTTTTATTCTTGTTTAAGTTGTTTTTTGCACTGTGGTTTTTAATTATACTTTTTAAATTACAATCAAAAATAACAATATGCATCATTGTTTGCCCTTTGATGATAGTTGATGAAATCACAAATAAAATAATTCACAGTACTTTCCATATAGGAAGTAGTACAGAGTAACCATATTCTTTACCTTCATTAAATTTTCAATCTAACTAATCTGTATTGGGATGTTCCCTGTATTTTGGGTTTGTAAATTCTTTCACTTATATTTCTATGGCAAAGCTTTGTCAGATGACTTGTTTTCCTGTTAATTTTCATTATGAATTTTAATTCTCTTTTTTATTAATTATGTGTACAATAGTATGAATCCTGTGACTTTATTTCATTTCTATTTTATTATTTTCTGTAAAATTAAAAACAAAATATTTACCTGAACATTGAAGCCAAATGCACAGCAATCCTAGGATCCCACCTGCCAAACAGTTTCACAAACTAAATATCAACCTTAACTCACTTATTTCTTGGTAAATAAATGAATAATTTTAGATCAGTTATTTCAATATATATTGGAAATCAAAAAATTATTGGAACATATTTTGCAGGTAGCTCAATCACTATTTGCACATTATTTATGAAATGAAATTATATGGAAAATCATATGACATCAAGTTGTAACCATGGAGCATTGTTCCCTGACACATCATATCAACCAGTTTGGGAGTATTTACTTAAAGCAACATCATTGCTCAAACATATAAAAATTTAGTGTTTTCAAAATGTTTAAATCCCCTTTTAATTCTAAGCTAATGTGCTAATCTAAATATTAAAAATATGCACACATAAATATAAATGATATTACATATGGCTGTATTTAAAGTACCTGTAAAGCAGAATAAAACTAAGTCTAGTGAAATGCAAAAAAAAATATACTTTCAATCAGCTACATCCAATGTTAATAGCAACAATAAAAAAGTAACGCATCCACTTTAACCCTGCATGTAAATCATAATAAAATTGTTACTTTCATCATCCTTTACACTTGCATCTCTACAACAGGCACTTGCCATCCATTCTACAAAGTTTCATCAATTTACTCAGTGTTTTCAACAACAGTCCCAAACAGATGTTGGAAATCTTAAATATATTCACTGTTATACACATCTGCTCACAAGACTTACATAGTCATACAAACCTGCTAACAATGTGTGTGTGTGTATATATATATAGTCAGACATACCCACTAACAATGTGTTTCTTGTCATAGAAAGGAGTTACAATGTACTTATAACTATTGTCATATTTAATAAATCACAACTATTTATCATACAAATAAACTGATAACATTTTAATATTCACGATGCTGATAAATTGCACAGTATCAAACAGCAAAATAAGAAACTAATGACCAAAGGACTTTCAGGAAGTCGACCTACATTCTTCAGGTGGTGAACTAGGAAGGTGTACATGCTGAAAGCCCTCAGGTTACTTGTTTAACAATATGTTAATGGTTATCCATGTCCCCAATTACATTCATGTATTACTATAAACACATTGCAGATTCCTATGATTAGAAACAACTTGTTAGCAGACATGTATTACTATAAACACATTGTTTGCAGATTCTATGATTAGAAACAACTTGTTAGCAGACATGTATTACTATAAACACATTGCAGATTCCTATGATTAGAAACAACTTGTTAGCAGACATGTATTACTATAAACCTGCTAACAAGTTGTTTCTAATCATAGAAATCTGCAAACAATGTGTTTATAGTAATACATGCCTGCTAACAAGTTGTTTCTAATCATAGAAATCTTCAATGTGTTTATAGCACAGCACAAAATAATGGTTGGTCATCAATAAATAAATAAACTTTTTGACTGTAATCAAACACTTGAGTATAATCAGTCATGCTGGCATTTTGAATGTTAATATTGTTAAATTAGGGATGACTATACCTAGGAGTCTGACTGTTTAGCTATTTGTCACATAAGATTCACATTCCAAATACTATTCTTAGTGCTTATGAATAGTTGCATATACTTCTTAATAAATTCAGAGAAATATATCCTACTTTGGTTTTTGTTTTTAACTGTTATACACCACTAGTTACTGACTTGTCCTTAACTATAAAACTTTTATAAATAGTCCTACAAAATACTCAGCTTTAATATCCTTTTAATTGTTTCCTTGATGTATGTTGCCAAGAGCCATATGTTACATTTCTTTCCCTATACGTTTTCTAAATTTATTTTCTTATTTTTGTGTATGAACTAAAATATTTCTTGATTTCATTAAGCTGCTTGGATCCATAAATGCTGGAGTTACTTGTGCAGATACAATGATACCACAAGATGTTGTTACGACAGCAGAAGTCACACAACGCTGGGAGAATGCGCGCTAGAGTTTCAATAACGATCATGACTTGTCGAGGAACCTCGCGAATGTCCAAGTGTTTGCCAGGCACCCTTTTTTTTAGTATATAAGCCTGACGAGATAAACCAGCTCAATTGCAGAGATAGATATGCAGATAGATTGAAGATATTGATAATTGAGTCAAGCGAACAGAAGGCACCGTAAGTAAAGTGTGTGAACCACTGTGATTTATAGCATGTGTTATAAAGGTTGTTAAGTTTAAAGTGATTGTGGAAATTCTGTGTATTACAAAGTTGTATCGGGAAAGAATAAACTAGTTTAATTAAGAAAGGACTTGTATCACTGAAGTTCCTCAGAAAGAATTTATTCCGGAAATTAACAAACGAGCAGATATGCAACAATATTTTCCATTTCATTTTACTCAAATCATTTTAGTAAAGTTGTTGAGGTCTGTACATGGAAAATAAAATTATCTAACATATGTAAAAGCCAGTGTCTGTCTTTTCGTGACAACACTGGTTCCAACAAATGCTTTTATGCCATGTCACTTAGTAACAAAAGTACAAGTTTTTTATTATGGGATGTTAATGTTTTTTAACCCGATGACTACCGGCTACTAACTTT